GGCTTAGAAAAAAATAATTTTATAACACCTAAAAACAATCCCCCCTATTCTGCGAGTCACGTGACTCTCTCTCACCGGTGAGGTGACAATTGTCACCTCGTGTGAGGTGACTCTCCATGCAAATCAAATGGAGAGTCACCTCACACGAGGTGACTATTGTCACCTCACCGGTGAGAGAGAGTCACGTGACTCGCAGAATAAGGGGGAATGTGTATATTACGAAGAAATTTACTAAAATTCAAATGGAAATATAATAAAATTCACTGATAAAGTACCATAAAATCTATGTTGCTTGCTAGTGGGTTGGGCTGAGATCTTTTTGCTCTGAGTAATTTTCAATTAGATATTACATGAAAATAAAGTGAAAGTTACTTCAAAAGGCCTTCAAAAATTTTGAAGCGGTCTTCATATGAAAAATGTAAAATTTTCTTGAAAAACTAGATGGAAAAAAATCTATGTTGCTTGCTAGTGGGTTGGGCTGAGATTTTTTTGCTCTGAGTAATTTTCAATGAGATATTACATGAAAATTAAGTGAAAGTTACTTCAAAAGGCCTTCAAAAATTTTGAAGCGGTCTTCATATGAAAAATGTAAAATTTTCTTGAAAAACTAGAATCTATCTATGTATGTTCATGTAACATCTAAGTGAAAAAAATTCCGAGTGTAGACAAACTGACTCTGTTGCGTGTGGAAGTATTGTTATCGAAACTAGAGGAAACTTTCACAACCCAGGTGAAGTCATCCGAGGTGTAAACAAAAACCAAAAAAAAAATTCCCATTGATCGACAACAGTGTTGCAAGCTTTACTCTGCGTAACTCTTCTATCATCAACTCTAGTAATATTAGGTTATATTATCTATAGTCGCTATACTCTTAGTCTGACGGATAGAATCTCGGGAACCGATTAAGCTGTCAAGTAGCGGAACCAATCGAGCAGATGACGACCAACAACAGAAAAGAGCACATCAGCTATTGCGCACAAAACTTCGGAAACCCTTTTCTAAATGACTCAAGGCTCGCCTACGCAAACTAATAACATCGTTGGGTTGGTGAAAGTTTCCCCTATCCGATGATGCTGGTAATTTGCGTTCGATTGGCGAGGAAAGAACAATCAACGTTTTGTTTATTGGGTTCTTTAATTTTGAAAAATATATCGGTTTTTATATATCATCTGAAAGAGCTTCGTTTTCATCTCGAATTTTAAATCAAGATTTAAAGCAAAATAATAACTTCACTGTTTGACACTAAACTGACAAACTGACAGCTCGCTCCCATACAAAGTGACACCGAGGGGCGCTAATAAGGTGATTTGTAATCGTACCTATTTAAAATAGTTCCAGTGTACCAAAATTGATGAAATTTTGGGTTTGGGTTTCATTTTTTCATTTTAGGGTAATTGATTCTGGTTGGACCTATCGAAAAACTGATGATGGTTGGACCTATTTTTTCAATCGCTAGTTTAGTCAATCTTCGCTATTTTTTTTTTTTCAAAGACCACTTTACTATCATAAAAAAAACTCTTTTTCTTCAATTTGCATGGGTGTTTTATAGAAAAAAACTTCAAAACAATTGAGTTTCAATGTGTTTTCAAAACAGTTCACTTTTCATGCATTTGCTCGTCATCATGCCTTACTTTCAAACATACAAAAAAGGAATATTTTTTACATTTATTTTTATTTTCATGCAGTAAAATACTGCTTTAAGGTGTAAACAACACGTTAGTACGCCATTTATCCATTGGTTTCACTAAAATGTTTGAATAATTGACGAAATTCGAATAGATAAATATGATCATGGTTGGACCTACGCATGATGATGGTTGGACCTATGTGGTTTGTTTACATCCTTCATGTGCAGCTGATTTGAAATTCGATTTTATGTTGTCCGAGTGTTCAGTTTCTTCAATTGGAAAAAAAGTAGAAAGGTCTGTGCCTAGGGGCACAAACGGAAGCTTGACGTAGGACCGCTAGTGGACGGAATACATGTGTAGAGCATTAAGTTCTTTTAATTGATTAAATCAGGCATAACATTTGATAACGGCACAAAAGCATTTGTAAACAAACATTCTAAGGCCCTTTACACGCGAAGTAAAGTACGCTTACGCAAACCAATACCACTTTCGGAAAGGTGATAGTTGCCCCTATGCGATGATGTTGTTGGTGCCGTTATCAAATGTTATGCCTGAAATATCTATTATCTAAACTCTTTCCGTTTTTGAATTGTAGGCGATTAATCGAAATTAGTTACAAATCATTACGAAATTATTTACCCTGCACTGGAGGAACCTGGAATCGAACTTGAGACGACCTGATTGGCAAACCTTGACACTACCAACTGTGCTACGCCAACACTTTGAACATATGTGAACAAATCAACATTCCCTTCTACAGCAAAATCGCTGAGTAGAGGCTTTATAATAGTGCACATGAATCACTTTTCTCGACTAGTTATAAAAGAGCAGAGTAAAAGCTGTAAAACTGCACACGTCTAAAAATAAACCTAGTTGACTGTGAAAATGCTTCCGAAGTTGCTCAAACAAAGTTTATAAGCTGAGTACAGGTTGTTTAGTTGATGAAAAAGCACTTTTGATGTTTATGTTATTCAGCAAGAGTGGTTGGTTGCGTAGAAGCCATCAAATGAGTAACATGTTCACTTTGTAAGCTTTGTTTTACAGCTACAAGTTGAAAGTTGATTAGTGTGTGTATAGAAGTGACATAAGCGTTTATTGGCTGATGCTATTCAGTGCGACTGACAAATTGAATAATGGTTGTGAGAAAGTTGAGTAAACGCTCTCCAAAACTATTTTGCTAGCTTTTGCTTGTAGCTGTATCTGCAGCTTCTTTTCAGCTACTTTACAGTACAACGCTGGAAAAGTTGTCTTACAAAGCTGAAAATGTTAGTTGTGTAGTTCCCTTTTTTGTTCTTGACGACAAACGACGCCTTTTCTTATTGTTCCTCAAAAATGTCCATGTTAATACGCCTAGTGGATCTTTTGACAACTGGGATTTGTCCTCCGATTTCCAGCAGCATAGTCTGCTACCGAATTCTTCGTCTGCTGTTTTCCATGTCACCTGTGTACCAATTCCTGGCGTAGCCTACATAAATTGCAGATTCCTTCTCTCGCAAAGTATTTATCATCGTGGGTGATCCATCGTTGAGCAAAACATACTTCGAATCCTCGATGTTCTCGTGCGAAATTCTTTCTGGACTACACGTTGGGGCTCCAGCTAACATGATGCGCATTCAAGTCAGCTCCTATTATGGTTTCTCCATCTAACCGCTCAAAAACACGAAAAGGTCCTCTAGATCTTGCCTAACGTTCGATTCAGTTGCAGGGGCCAGGTATACTGAGATCAAGTTTATCGGGTCCAATCCTCCTTTTACCTTGATTCCTACTGCTTATACGGACCCTACATTTGGTATGTCTATTTCCTGGAACTCCAAATCTCTATGCCCCAAAATTCCTACGCCCCCGTAGCCTTGGGGTCTTCTTTTTGATACAAAGTTGATTCTGATTCTGTGGTTGTTCTATATGTTTGTTGATTCTTGTTTCCTTGTGATCCCGTCAGTGCTTCGCTGTACGTACGTCTCCCATTACGAATGACAACTTTCGATTTATTTTCCCGCCTTTTCGCAATTGCTCCTGTTCTCTTTCCTATACGAAGTCCTTCAAATCACTAGCGTCGAAATTCAACGGAACGTTGTCCACAAAGCATATCGTTTCCTTGCTCCTGTTTGGCAGGAAGGACTTCAGGTTCTTATGCTCCAGATCCAACCTTGACAATTTTGGATAGTCCTTTCTGCTAGTCAACTCAATCTTGTACTTGAATTTTCTGATCTTCGTTATCTCCTTGAAGCTTTTGAATGCTGCGTCGAATAAAATCCGACCGACCTCCGCTGGGTGTTTTGCCATTTCTTTTTCAAAATCAATGGGCTCCAGATACGCTACGACCGCTAACTCCACCACCACTGCATTGGGTCCCTGTTGGGACGCTTTCCGTGTTCCGGGATTGCCACCCGAAGTACTCCCCTTTCTGACGATTTTGGTTGGTATTTGTGACCGTGTGATAGGTTCTCCTTGCCTGTTGCTTGATGTCTGACTCATGACTTAAATCTATCTTTTTTTTATTTTTCTCTCTTCACTTATGAACTAATTTATATTTTTGATATTTTGCTGTTTCTTTATACTATTCCACTTTTTCCTCTTCTTTTCGCATATGTACAAATCACTTTCTTCTCTTAGTCCCAGCTCTATAGGTAAAACCAAAACGGCTTCCCAAGTAGTCACGTCCAATCACTCTTCTTCGACTTGGATGACGAGATATTAATCGCAAGATTTCACACTCAAATTCACGAAATTCTTGACTTTTTCCACACCGAACGCAAGCCACGGACGATGCGCACCGATTTTGCGTATAATTATTCCCGTAGGATGTAATTTTTCAACCAATTTTCCACGATTTCTCCGTCTAGCGAACGATACTACGCGGACTTTTTCTTTTTTTTTGTTCCGCATTTAGGTTTTAATTTGACCCGAATATCTGGAAACACTGACACTCACGTGCTTTCGGCACTGTAAACGACACTCCCGCACCCAAACAAAGTTGCGTCAAATTTTCAGCGTATCCATCAGTGGCAGCAGCTTCGAAAGCGTAAAACAAAAGGAAAACGTTTTGTTGTGCTTGTTGTTTGTCCAGCCGGAGTTTTGACCGGGTGTTTTTTCCCATTCTCTGCATCACCACCCCCCATTCATAAAGGCATTTTCCGAGCAAGACGAAGAAAAAAGAGAAAACTATCTCACCCCAGGCAAAAAAAACAGACGCGTTGGTTGTCTACTTGTGGGCCATCATTATTCGCATCGCATCAGTATTCGCAGTAGAAGGTATTTTAGATCAGTGTGATAGTTTTTCCAGACGACGACGACAGTGGCAAATATTCTCGATATCGATTTAATAAAGCGTTGAGAGACATTGCATTTGTACTCCATTTTTATCTTTGGGAGATTTGTGATTGTGTGAAATTGAATATTTTTGGTATCGGACTAGCAGCAAGATGGAAGCAACCAATAATGGAGAACGGCATCCGGCCGAGTTGAAGAAGCAGATGCGGGAGGATAAACAGCGAGAGGCCAAGATTCAGGACCAGGTATGAGCCTTAATGCGATAAAATTATTAAAATAGATTGATATCGTTCTTCCATTGCAGTTGAATAAACAGCTGAATGGCTTATCGTTGGAGGAAAAGTTTAATCTGGTTCACAAGCGGCTGGTGGAGGCAGAGAAGGAGAACAAACGTCTGGTGCAGCTTCATAAGCAGTATGAGCGCAGTATGGAGGCGAGCAAGAAGGAACGCGAAAACATGATTCTTGAGCACAGCAAGGTGGCCAACACCAAAAGCAAACTGGAACAGCTCTGCCGGGAGCTGCAGAAGCAAAACCGGATGATCAAGGACGAAAGCTTTGCCAAAATTAAGGAAGAAGAGGAAAAGCGTAAGGAAACGCAGGCAAAGTTTCAGAAGTCGCTGAACGAAATTCAGGCCGTTATGAACGAGAACAACGAAAAGAACCAACAATTGAAGGACGACAATACGGAGATGGCCAAGAAGTAGTTTCTTTATCTTGTTGAACCTCTGCAAATATTCATCGTGATTTTCTTTTCACAGGTTCAAATTTATCCTAGAGCAGTACGAGCTGAGGGACCAACAGATGGACAAGATGAACAAACAGATGGATCTAGTGACACAACTTAACGAAGCCAAGCTAGCCAAGGCGAATATGGAAACAGCTGCAGAGAAGGAGAAATTCCTAGCGTAACTATTCTGCCTTAATCCAAGCCTTAATCGATGCTCGTTTCTCAAAGACCTGTACCTTATTTTATAGAGAAAAGGAAATCATCATCACCGAACTGACCAAGGTGAGAAAACAACTGAAGGATTTGCAAATGGTGGAAGTCCATCTGCGCGAACAAGTCAACATGTACTCGGATAAGTACGGTGAATTCCAGGATTCACTCAAAAAGAGTCAAAACATTTTCGTGGGATACAAAGGCGACATGGAAAAGGTAATACATTGTTTTTTTTTATTCAAGAGCTTGTTACCTACATTTTTTGCATTGCAGATGTCCAAAAAGATCAGAGCCTTGGAAAAGGAAACTACCATCTGGAAGACCAAGTGGGAAAGGAGCAACGCTGGCCTAATAGATCTCATGTCCGAGAAGCAGGTCCGCGATGAGCACATCATGAAAACAGCTCGCCAGCTGTTCCAGCTGCAAAAACTCTGCCGAACTCTGCAAAACGAGCGATCGGCTTATTTCAAAGCCTTGGAGGAAAACAAAGTTGAAATTCCCACAATTGTTGAAGTTCCTTGCCAAATGCCCGAACCGGAAACATTCCTCCCCGTTCCGATGAAGAAGGAAGAAGACCGCTTAGAAATTATGACTAAGAGTTGTTCGGCGCTCAAAGAAAACCTGGCCGCTTTGCAGGGACAGTTGATTGCGATTCAGGATGCCGAAGCGAACGCAGAGGTCACTACTGGCGAAACCTCGACTGCTGCCGCTGCTACCACCAGCAATGGACAGACACAACAGCAAGGCAAAAAGGGCAAGAAGGACAAAAAGGGAAAGGGTGGACAAACAACTGCAAAGGTTCCGGAGCCAGAAGCCAAACCGGAGGCCAAGGTAGTTGAGAGCAGCAGTTCCGAGAACAAAGTGGTCGTTCCAACCGTTGAAGCCACGACACCGGTTGCATTGGAAGAGGAAACGAAGACTGTGGCAACTGCTGACGCGGTTGTTCCAGTAGAAGAAATCAAACTGGTAATTGTGGAGGAGGAGAAACCCCCCGTCGTCGTCGTCGATGCCGTTGAATCGTCAGAGTTGAAAGAGCAAGAACAGCCTATGGAAGAAGTACAACAAACGGAAACAGTTACCACCGCTACGTAGACAATCGTCCTGGAAACAGGTAGACGTTTATAATACCTTCATGTGTTTCGAATAATTTAAATTGTGTTTCGTTAGTCTCGTTACTAAATTTGTATCATATCAATGAGACACATTTTTTCAGTACTTCGCTCTCATGTAACTTTTACGTTGATATAACAATCAAAGACCTGTCTGGTTTCCAAATATTTATTTATTAGTGTCCCTGACGCATACAATAAAGATACAATAATGAAAAAGTTTCGAATCATGTCGGGAACTTAAATATCACTGCCATTCGGCTATAGTTCAAAATGCACTACTTTGCTCGATTGGAACAACTTTTTGCAGTTTTGTGGTGCCAGTCGTCCATACTTTTACTAGAGCGTTTTACATTCGGCTACCACCATGAACGATTGGGAACAATTAATAGATCTATTGTCGAGCCCGGCTGCATCTGTACCCCTTAGAGCAAGGTTTTTTTTTCATGTAAATTTAAATAAAATGCTCCATTTGCAAAATAAAAGCATAAAAGCGTGGAAAGTGTTGAAACCATCATCACTTTCATAGTTCTTCTATTCTCCACGGGAGCCAACTTTGATTTGCCAATACATACACTGCCGGTGGAAGCATAACTGTCCCATGTTACAAAACACAAAAATGAAAAAAAAACTGCAGTTAAAGTTTGAACAGACGTTTTGCTGCTATCGTAAAATTTCACGTTCTACTATAGAGGTAACTCTAAGACCAGAAGGTCCCGAAAAAACGAGTTCAACTTTTTGGCTCAGCTCTGGTACTATCTTCGGTCCCAAGGTAATCGATTCACCCCTCGAAACATAAGAAAATCCACCAACCCCTCATTTTATCTGTCAAAATTTCATAGCGAATCAAAACAAACATAGTGTAGTACTGGAATTTATACTAGAATGGGGTTCGTTAGTCGATTTGCTTGGGACCAATAGGCTAGTCAAGTAGTGAGCCAATTTTAAATCATTAGTTTCGTATTGATTGTTGGTTCTACTTCGAAAAACTGACGTAATATAACTATTCCATAGAAAGTTTGTCAAAATTTTGCCAAAAAATACATTTTTCCATTAAAAAATCTTCTTCGACACTTATGCCGCGAATTTCTCTGACGAGTTGAAAAATGTACGCATATTTGTCCCACTGTCAACAACTTCTCAGTTGCTGCTGTTATTATGTTTGGAGTTTTTTCTTTAAATTCAGTGCCAACATTTCAAAGGGGCGTAATTGCTTTTGTAAACAATGGCTTGAGCTATCGATTTCTCGCAAATAAAAGCCCACCCTTCAAATTAACAATGCTAGCTGGTAAAGGAAACATTATTCTACCTGCTGGTGGCATTAATCTTCATGAGTATGCTTTTATTCGCGAGAAATCGATGGCTAAAGCCATTGTTTACAAATGCAATTACGCCCCTTTGAAATGTTGACACTGAATTGTTTATTTCAGTGCTAATATTTCAAAGGGGCGTAATTGCGTTTGTAAACAATGGATTCAGCCGTCGATTTCTCGCGACTAAAAAAGCTCACTCATTAAAATTAATGACACCACAGAGACACAGGCTAAGGAATGTTTCATCTACCAGCTAGCAATGTTAATTTGGAGGGGTGAGCATTTATTTGCGAGACATCGACGGCTAAAGCGATTTTTTTTTACAAAAGCAATTACGCCCCTTAGAAATGTTGACACTGATTTACATGTGGGCCGGAAACGTCTGCCATAGAATATTTAAAGCAGTACGGTGGTTCCAGTGATAGTGATAGCTATTAGTCTTTAACGAGACATTTGCTCCTGTTGGCGCATACGCACGATCATTTCCAGTGTCTGCATGTATTAAGCCCGAGTAGATCAGTGGTCGCACTGCCAATGACATTCGTTGTTGTTTTTTTTTCAGAGTAATTAATAAGCATGCTCACCTTAACAAACTTACATTTTGGTTGGACAGTTGCTCATCCCAAAACAAGAATTGGAATTTATTTCAACACATCATCCTTCTGATAAACAGTACGGAAATTCAAGCTGAGCAAATACTGTTCAAGTTTTTTTTAATCAGGCCATACTTTTATGGCCGCTCAATCATTTCACGCAGCAGTTGACAAAAATCCAAGTTTAATGTCTCACAGTACACGTTGAACTTATTCAAGCCATCGTGGACATCATGAGAAAATTGGTTTTTCAAAAAGGAAGTTATGAGCTAGGATACGCAAGCAACATCAACAGTGAGGACCTTAAATACTGCAAACTGTTTTCCAAGAAACAACTCCAGCTGATCGTAAAGGATACGTTTTCTACTGAAGCTAATGTACTCTGGCAAAGGTCTCCTCGTTGAATTGAAGTAGGTAGATAGGAAGGCCTCTCTGTTGTCAGTTGTCGTACCTGTTATTGGAGAAGACGAAACATCATTTTTAGTTGGTCTTCCGACCAAGCAACATGCATCGGAATGATAGTTATTTAAGGTAAACCGTTGTATGCATTTCTTATATTTTTAAAATAAATCTCATAATTTTTTTTCAATACCAAATAATCATATGTGTCACGAAAAAGTACAAATAGGGTGTTGCAAGTTGATTAGTAGCTTTTTATTTTATTTGTTTGTTAATAGTAACAGAACTGAGAATGATAGCTCAAATTTTCCTTAAAAAAGTGTTAATGTGCTTACGACGTTATCGAGGTATCATCCAATTAATTAAAAGATTAATTTTACCATTTGGGCAATCGTTTGGAGCTGGTAATATGTTTACGATGTATTTATTTGGATAACAGCCTATCATTTTTGAATAATTTCTTATACGTATTAAAAATTGGAGCAGTGGGACAGATATGCGTCCATTTTAGCAATGGGGCAAAACGACTTCACATTTATTTTTATTTTTCTAAAATAAACAGCATGTTTGAATATAATATTTCAAAAATATGTATTGATTTATCCCATTTATCCCATATTTAAGCATCATAATCCCAAAAAAATCGAAATGTCACATGGGACAGTTATGCTACCACCGGCAGTACATACATTATAAATTGGCAAGAGCCTTGAATAGAACCCTGAGGACTGGAAAAAAGTAAAGACGGAGAGTGAAGTGCAGAACCATCCAGGTAACATTCCCTTCTAGAGAAATACAAAAAAAGTTGAGCTGCTGAATAAGCTGAAAAATTGCTGAAGAACCTAATATTGCATGAACAAGCTTTCAATATTTGTTGGGACTTTATCGGTCGTCAATAACCGCCATCATGATTCCCCATTATGCCCACAGGACCCCGTAGTTTACCGCTAGAGATTCATCTACGGCGTCGTCAGACCCCGTAGTGTCCGTCGTTTGACATACGGTACGGTTAGACCCCGAGCATCTTCCGATACTACCGATAAGGTATCCGGAATACTCACCAAACGGCCCGGTTTCGTCAAAACACAGTCGTATAACAGCCTTGCACGCTTTTTGGCCACGGAATTCTGCTTCATTTGCCGGTTCGGATGTTTACTGGCTTTATACGACTTGTATCCTTCCCTGGCAAGGATGTTCCACACCGTTTGAAAGTTGGCGTTAAAGCTTCTGGCCACATCTCGGATCGAATGACGGGGGTTGGCTTTAACGCACCTCAACACATTGCTGCGCAGCTGACGATCCCTGGTTCCAGTTTTTTCGCAGGTACGCTGATTCCTTTCTACACTCAGGGTTTCCTTGTAGGTTTTAAGCACTCGACAAACTGTTTATTTCGGCATCTTCAGCACTTTAGCCAGCTTGAAACCGGACTTTCCAAGTGCACAATATTTTTTCTTCTTTCGAGTTTGATTTGACGTTATTTCTGAACGCGACCGACTACTTTGATCAAACTTGCACCAGTTGTTCGCTATAAAAGTGTAAACACAACACTGTCAAAGATTTTCGATTCCCAACACTAGAGGCGTGCTAGCGGCGCGCGAGGAGCGTACCAATTTACTTTTAGTCAGCCTTTAGTCGAAAGCGTAGACAGAACACGAAACTTATCAACTCTAGATGAAAATTTCAAAAGGTCCTATCTGGTTTGATCGATCGACTCTTTTTTTTTTGGTAAACACGTCTACACAAACAGATGTGGTGCTATTTTTGCCGCATAGTTTGATAAAGGAGGTTCCTATTTAGCATCCTGAACATCAAACACATCAAAGAATGTTTTTGCAGCTGTGATATTGAAGAAAGAGAAAATCGATGAAGAAAGAAAGAATTGATCAAAGCAGATAGGACCTTTTGAATTGTTCATCGAGAACTTATATCGTTCACTACGGGGGATAGTAGGAAATGTAACTAACATTCAATGTAATACATTTTTCTACTTTCAGAAATTGACCATTTTCCCGGTGATTGCGGATATCCTTTTTCTGGCCACTCGGGAGCAGAATTGATATGGTGATGCCATATTTCCTCTATGCACATGATTGTACGCAATTAAGAAAAAAAAAATCGCGGATCTTTAGGGGTACTTTCAGGAATTGACCATTTTCCCAGTGAATCCGAATTTCCGCAGAGCCACCTCTCACGGGATTTACTAGTTCGACTAGCCAATTGGTTTCCTGTCTATCCCGTTCTAAAGTAGATAGTCATACTTTTCAAAAAGTGGCTCAATCTTAAAATTTGGTAACCAAATTGCCAAGAGCCAGCCATGTCAACATGACCGGTCGACCGTAAAATCAACAATCAATACGAAACTAACGATTTTAAATTGGCTCACCACTTTAGTAGCCTATTGGTCCCAAGTAAACGATTAACGTACCCTATTCTAGTTGAAATTCTATTACTACACTATGTTTGTTTTGATTCGCTATGAAAGTTTGACAGATAACATCAGGGGTGTGTGGATTCATGCAGAACATGCAGGGGTGAGTGAAATAGCTTGGGACTGCTTGGGACCGTTGTTCTGGTACTGAGTGAGCCAAAAATAATAATGATTTTCTTCGGGACCCAGTGGTCTTAGAGTTACCTCTATGGTAAAATGGACCAGAAGATCACCATGCTGATCCTAGATAAGATAAGTTCCTCTGTTCGAGATTTGGCCAAAAAACTAAGAACATCGGAGAGTAAGGTCCAACGTACCAAGGCAAGAAACGGGTTGAAAACGTTCAAGAAGCAGAAGCAGCTGAAACAAGCCGCACCCGTCAAACCGAGAGCTCGCAAGCTATATGAAAGCCTGCTGTGTGGAAAATTGGCGTGTGTTATCATGGACGATGAAACGGTTCCGGGAGAAAATTTGGTAAGAAGGCCA